AAGTGCGAGATTGCCCCTGCGGCGGGGGCAGACAGCAACGCGTCCGCGGCGGATTTCCCACCGGGCTTCCGACAGCGCTCCGATGCTGTGAGATCCTCGGCGCGCCCATCGGGCGCGACGATTTCTGCCGCCAGCACACGCAGGAACGAGTCAAGAAGGCAGCGGACCTCCTGGGCGCACAGGCCGGCTTGGAGGACGCGCAGGCGGCTCCCCACCTTCTCCGGCAGTGCTCCTCCTACTGCAAGCTCGGTAACTCGGCGCGCGTGGCGTCGCCCTCCGCCCACACCGAGGCCCTCTTGGAGATGGATGCCGCCGTGCGCTCCTGCATGGAACAGCTGGCCTGCGCCTCCCTCACCGACGACTCCTGGGCCCAAGGGCAGCTGAAACTGAGCAAGGGCGGCCCGGGGCTGCGCTCCGCCGAGAAGCACTCGCCAGCGGCCTACCTCTCCTCGCGCGCCGAGAGCAGCGAACTCTGCCGGCCCATGCACGCGGGCTACGCGGACGACGACGCGGGCGACGCTGAGGCCTTGACAGCGGCGCCCCAGACCCACAACGCCAGCGTGACCGAGGCAGCCCGCGCCGCGCGCTTCGACTGGGAGACGCACGCCAGCCAGAAGACTCTCTCGGACCAGGTCGACGACGCCGCTCGCGCCGCCCTCTGGAGCCGCTCCACGCCCGCGACGCGCGCTCACCTCGCCCTGGTGGCCGCGCCCGGCGCCAGCGCGCACCTACAGGCGCCCCCAGCGAAGCGCTCGGCACAGCGGTCGCGCACGGCCTGACCAGCTGATGGGCGAGGAGGTATTCTGCCCGGCGCGCGGAGAAGTCATGGACGCGCGCTGCGACCACGCCTTGACGCGCGCCTGCCAGAGCGACCGCGCGCGCCACAACAAGCTGCGGAACGGCGCATTCTTCGCCGCCCAGGCCGCTGGCTTCTCGGGGGCGGAGCTGGAGCAGCCCGGACCGCTGCCGCCGCGGGCGCCTGGCGAGGGGCCGAACGCCGAGGAGCCCAGCGGCGACGGACTAGACAACGACGGCCGCCGGCCCGCGGATGTCTACGTCCCCCATGGCGCGCCGGGCTCCCAGCAGCCTTCGACTTTGCGGTGACGTCGGGCCTGCGCGCAGACCTCATCGCGCACTCCGCCGCCGACCCAGCCGCCGCCCTCGACCGGTACGAGAAGTTCTAGCGGCAGCACCACGGCACGGCGCAGGCCTGCCGCGACGCCGACCTGACCTTCATCCCGATGGCGGTGGAGGCGCACGGCGGGAGCTGGGGCGGCGAGGCGCGACGCGCCTTCGCCGTGCTGGCCAAGCGCGCTGCCGACGCGTGCGGGGAGGAGGCCGCCAGCACGGCGGACAGGATGGCCCAGCGACTCTCCATCTCCCTGCACAGGGAAAACGCGCGGGCCATTCTGCAGCGCCTGCGGCGCCTGCGGCGCCCGCGGCCAGGGGCGACCCCAGCCCGCCTGGCGGCGGCGGCGGCGGCGGCGGCGGTGGAGGCGGCGGCGGCGGCGGCCGTCGCGTGAGGCGCAAGGACAGGCGGCGGGCGCCGAGGACGACGAGGTGAGGGGGGGCGACCAGGAGGAGGAGGAAGAAGAGAGGGAGGAGGAGCAGCAGGAGCACGACGGCACCATGAGGAAGCAGCACATAGGCGCTGAGGAAGCCCAGAGGAGGGCGACGACCAGAGGAGGAGGAGGAGGAGGAGGAGGAGGAGGAGGAGGAGGACGACGAGGAGGAGGAGGAGGACGAGGAGGAGGACGAGGAGGAGGAGGAGGAGGAGGAGGAGGAGGAGGAGGAGGAGCGGCAGGAGAGCGACGTCGAGACCACGAGGAGGCAGCAGGGAGGCGCTGAGGAAGCCCAGAGGAGGCGGCCAGGACGACGGCCAAGAGGCAACGCAAGACGAGCGTCGAGAAGAGGGAGGAGGAAGAGGAGACAAAGAGGAGGGGGAAGACGAAGACGACGAGCCGGCAGCCGGCGGCAGCAGGGCAGGAGGAGGGAGGAGGACGAGAGCGCGGAGGAGGAGGAGGAGCCGCTGCGCTGCCGCAGACGGAGGAGGCGCTCGAGAGGAGTGTGCCCCGACTCCGAGCCGGAGGAGGAGGAGGACGAGGACGAGGAGGAGGAGGAGGAGGAGGAGGAGGAGGAGGAGGCGGCCCTGGGCTGAGGCGCGCCTGGCCGCCGCGGCGCGGCGGTGAGAGGGGCTTGTGCTTCTGATCTCACGCATCCTTGGCGCCCGTACTGCTTGTGCGCGCTGTTGCTCCTGTCCCCCGATGCCGCAGCATCCGTCTGAAGTCAGTTGAGTGACGCACTCTTCTGGTAAGCGCAAGGCGAGAGTTGGCGTCACCAGCACATTCCGGCGCACGCCTCATCCAGAGGCGCGGGCCTTCTCTGTAGATCCCTGCAGTCGACCCGCACAGCGAGGGCGAGCAGCTTTCCAAGGCTGTCCTCGCACCCGTCGGCCCGTCCTTGGACGCATCAGCCAAACATGGTCGCGAGGAGTGCTTGATTTTTGCATTGGAGGCGCTGCCCAAGAGGACAACGTCTGTTGTTGCGCATCGCACCCGTTTGGAGATGGACTCCCTGTTGGGGTATTGCCTTGCAGTGGACTGCCCTCCGCTGAGTCTTGCGTTGAACCTGCCGTAGCGGCGGCGGCAACATGGCGAAAACTCCCTGGTACCACCCAGCGCACGAGGCAGCAACGAGGCGGCAAGGGGCGGCAACGTGGCGAAACCTCGATGGAACCACCCAGCGCACGAGGCATGCAACGAAGTGGCAACCAAGCGGAAACGAGCGGTAACGAAACCTTGCCGGACCGACTTAGCACTCGAGGAAGCAACGAAGCGGCAACAAGCGGCAACGTGGCCAACCCTCGCCGGACGCACCCAGCGCAGGAGGCGGCCACGGGCAGCAACGTGGCGAAACCTCGCCGGACCAACCCAGCGCACGAGGCGGCAACGAGACATCGGGCGGCATAAACCTCGCTGGACCCACCAAGCACACAAAGCGGCAACGAGGCGGCAACGGGCGGCAGCGTGGCGAAACCTCGCCAGACCCACCCAGCGCACGAGGCGGCAACGAGGAGGCAACGGGCGGCAACGTGGTGAAAGCTCGTCAGACCCATCCAGCGCACGAGACGGCAACGAAAGGCTACAGGCGGCAACGTGGCGAAACCTCGCCAGACCCACCCAGCGCACGCGGACCGGATCGCAATCAATCGAGCACAAAATGTAAGGTTTGTTTGTGCACTGCGGGAGCATACGTGGAATACGTTTTGCAGGACGAAGGTGGTGTGCAAATAGATAGATGAATGGGAGTGTGTGTATATACATATATATATATATATATATATATATAAATGTGTATGCACTAATGAATGTGTAAAGTCTATATGATCTAGGAATAGTGTACGTATACCTAGATGTAGATACATACATAGATAGAGAGAGAGAGATATACACCATCGGGCGCTCCGCGCGCGCTCAAGCTCTAGCTAGGGCAGATGGGCTAACTCTAGGATGCCTCGATGTGCTGAGATTCCCTCACCAGAGCCTCCAAGAGGCATAGACAGCCTAAGATACACCCAAAACGGTCTCAGAGAGGTCCGAGAAGACCCAAAGATAATCCGCTCAAGATGGCATCCACAGGGCGCAAGAGACCTACAAAACGCTCCAAAAAAAGCTCCCGGTGCGTATCCAAGAGGCCCGGCCCTGAGGCTAACGGTTCCGTAAAGCTTACAAAAAGATTTATTGTTGTCGCCTTTCCAATGACGTGAAGCAGACCAATGGTGTGAAGCAGACCATCGATGGAGTGAGGCTATGCAATCAAGCCTGTGGCAGCAAGCCGATAGCTCTCGGCAAGATGCAAACGCCGTCTTTTAGTCTCAAGGATGCCAGTGTCCAGCTATGCCACTGCTTTCGACCCCATACCTGTCGGCGGACAAGGGCGAATAGGGGGAGTCATAGCAGTGGTTGCAGGCCGCGGATCTCATCCCTCAGATGCACGACGCAACGCAATCTTCATCCCAACCAGTCACGGTAGAGCCAGCTCGCCTATTTACCCGTCTGCGGACAATAAAGCTTAAAGTGCAATCATTCTGCGGCCAAGCCAAGTGACGTAGCTCATTTCACTATGATGGCTTGACACGATTGCGCTCCACACGGTCATATGGACTCGGCTTGTGTTGCTGGTCGCGTGCTTTCCTGGGCTAAATGGATGGGTGGGTGTGTGGATGTGTGTGAGTGGGTTTGCAAGTTTGCATTGCGATTGCTGTTGCAAAGGTGCTGCATTGGAACAATGGTTGTTACATGGCGTTCTCGCCCGGCTGGTCTGTTGAACTTCTGCTCCAGGCACGTCGAAGTGCGGAATTCGGGCGCTTGGCACTGGTGTCGCTGACTCTAGCGAGCGCCATGACGTGCTACGAGGTAATAGCTACTCGCCCAAGCTCGGTGCTCCCAGGGCAAGAGAGAAGCCCCCACCCGATTGCGAAAGCGACGCGCCATGGTGCGCTGCCATTGCACGCTGCTAGGCCGTTCCCACGGCAGCCAGTATATCCACCCCAGTCCTCCTTCTGCTCCCGTTCCTGCTTCTCCTCCTCTTCCGCCGGAGTACAAAGAAGAGGGAGGCAGGGCAGCTGGATTAGAAGAAGAACAACGCAATAAACATAAACTTTTGGCGCTCCGCGCGGATTTCTTTGATCTGCGCGCTGGACCACCCTCCCTGGCGCGCGGAGCGCGCCAGGGGCGGCGCCGGAGGCGCCGCCGGGGGGGGTCCGGCGCGGGTCAAAGTTTATGCTCATGGCGTTTTCTCTTCTTCGAGGAGAAGACGACGAGGGAGGCGGGGGAGCAGGAGGAGGAGGAGGAAGAGGAGGAGGAGGAGGAGGAGGAGGAGGAGGAGGAGGGAGGAGGAGAGGAGGCGGGAGGCGGGGGAGCAGGAGGAGGAGGAGGAGGAGGAGGAGGGAGGGAGGAGGAGGAGGAGCAGGAGGAGGAGGAGCCCCCTCTCGAGCAGGCCTTGTGCAGGAACAGGAAGTTGTCATCCTTGACGTCCCGGTGGGCCACGTGCTGCCTCGGCGCGGCTGGCCGCGGACGGCTCCCCCCACGGCCGCCGACGGCCCTCTCCGACCTATCCTCGGCCTTCTTCGACCACTCATCGACCTCCTCCTCCTCCTCCTCCCTCCTCCTCCTCCTCCTCCTCCTCCTCCTCCTCCTCCTCCACCTCCTCCTCCTCCTCCTCCTCCTCCTCCTCCTCCTCCTCCTCCTCCTCTCGACCTCTCCTTCGCCCTTTTGTTCCTCGACCTCCCCATGCGGTCTGGCTCACTCGTAGCACATCCTGCTTGCGGGGCGTGCACTGGGCCGAGGCCATAGCAGGAAGCTCCCTGTCGAGGAGCGCCAGGGGCATGCACGTGTGTCCAGCGCATGCTCGAAACGAGAGTTCAAGATTTCGAGGGCCATGCGTGGCCAACGTCCAGGCATAAAACCACCTTGAGTCTGTAAGATGCTAAGCCCAAAAGGTCTCCCCGGTCTCACACTGTGGGCTGGGGTGCAGCGTGGAATGTTCGAGCTGCGCGTTGCCGTCGCGATGTGTCATGCGGCAGCGCAATTCGCAATTCGGTTGTGCACGCATACGCTTCCTTCATCGCTCGGAACCTCCTGCTTATCCTGGCGTCCCTCGGCCTGGCGGCCTCTAGCAGAACGGCCACCCTCATCGTCCTCCCCCACTCGCACATGACGTGTCCGAGCTTGCGGGCAATCAAGCGGGCCTCCTGGGTGCAGACAGTGGGAGGTTCAGGGTTGAGCAACACAGGCCAATGCGCTCCCCTGGGTCCTCGGAGCACATTGCACCGAGCAATTCGTGCGATCCCGCGGGCGCAAGCCAGCAATCGCGGGCGCCCAGTCTACGCCGCAGCGAGGCAGGGCGAGGACGAATCGCAGTCCACCGCGCGAGGAGCCTGCGCACACGGCAGGAGAAAAGCGGTGGGGCACGCTGCTCCACGCGCGGGCCCTGCTGCGCGGCCTGCGCTGACACACGAGAGCGCAGTCGCGGGCAGCGCTCCCGAACCCTCGTGGCGACACGGGATGAGGCGGACACTCTCTCGCAAGAGGCACAGGATTGCGACCAATCCCAAGTTGAGGCAGCACGAGTCGCCCTTCGCTGCCGCGAGAGCGAACGAGGCAACGAGAGGCAGTCAGCTGCTGAGCGCGCGCGAACAAAGAGCATGTACGGCGCGTACAGCTTGCACAAGGTACGCGCATGCCTCCGGGCCTCTCCAGCGGCATCTGCAGCGGTGCCTCCGGTCCCGCTTCTTTGCCTCCACCCAGATGCAAAAGACAGGATCGCTGTCGGTCCTGGCTATGACCTGACTGCCGAGTATTGTGCCAACCAAGGTCTCGAATAGGGATGTCGGAGGTCTGGGGGCCGCCCAGATGTCCGAGTGCATGGGGTGAGGGGGTCGGCGATAAATCGGCGACGTCGGCGATGCATGTGAGCGAGGTCGGCGTGGAAAGAAATAGGATCCACACGACGACAATCACGTACAGTCGGCCTGGATTGGACAGGACACGCGAGAGGACACAAGACTCTTCCGAGGGCCACATCGCCATAGGAGTGTAAGAAGGCACGTGTCGCGAGGCACAGGACACAAGGGTACCCTTGAGCTGGCAGGGTCGACCTACTAATCCGGGCCGACTGTATGGTCGATTCGATCGAATCGACAAACGGAAGGCTACACACGAAATTCATGATCAATCCATTACCCTCCGCCACTGCGTCAACAGCGCGGGGCACCGCGTCCAAGCCGACGACACCGACGGCAGAGACCATGTGCGAAAGAGTATGAACTGCTGGCGCTGCCGTGGCGCCCGTACCGCGGAGATGAACATGGCGTGCGACACAGCGTTCCGATCGACGACAACGCCCACAGCGACACATGGTCGATCCGGTCGGATATGCGGAACTGGTGATGAGTCTGCAGCTCCCTGCCTCTGTGATCACGGCGTGGGACACCGCACCCCACACGGAGACAGTGACCATATCGCATGCTTTCAGGACCGCGGGCGCTGGCGCCTTGTACATCCCGCGGAGCTGCGTACGCAATGTGAGCGTGGCGTGAGAGTCCGCATTCCCGACGACCACAGTCGGGCATGGACGATCTAATGGAATCGACACGCTGGGGGCTACATGCGAACACAATGATGAGTCCGTAGCCCTCTGCCCCCGTTCACGGCGCGGGACGTCGCGTCCCACACGAGGATACCGCCGACTGTAAAAAATGTGCCCAGCGCGGCCCTGGCGTGACGGATGACATGCAGCCCTGCAGGGCTCAGACGTAGCATCGCGACCCACGCTAATCGCTTGATCTAACAATGGGAAACCTTTGCGATCTGTCGAAAAGACGCTCCGATGCCCCCCCACACACGTGAGCGACCCTGGAAAGCACGGTGAATGGCATGAGCACCAACCAAGAATTGTTTTGCTATATAAAAGTGGCGACGGCTGCGAAGCTGCGACTTCATGATGCCTGTGCCATGTATCGCGGATCGGCACAATACTTGCCCATCGCTCGGACGTCCATTCCCCGTGCATATTTCGGTTTAGTGCGTGCACGTTTGGGTCTCGATGTTCCAGGGCGCTCCTCCATGGCCCTCGCCGATGATGGGCCTGCTTTCCACCACCACCACCAGAAGTTGGAGGGGGAGGGGGTCCTCCTCCTACTCCTCCTCCACCTCCTCCTCCTTCTCCTCCTCGTCCACCTCCTCCTCGTCCTCCACCTCCCTCCCCCCTCCAACTTATGGTGGAGGTGGTGGAAAACAAGACCATCAGCCGAGAAAGAACGCACACGCCCAAACGATGCCAGGCATACCCCTGCAGCCATCTCGAAGACCCACGGGGACCAACAGCACGGGCCCAGGCGTCCTCGCGGACCCCTGCGGCGCCGACCCTCCGGCGAACACTCGCAGCGGCCCACGTAGGAAGGGCGACGAGGCAACCAGAGTCTCGCCATCGCTCGGACGTCCGTTCCCCGTGCATGCTTCGGTACATGCGCGTATGTTTTTCGCAGGATGGGCTAACATGCTCCTCGATGCGCCTTGCCGAGAGAAGCAAAACAAAAAAAACGCGTCCGAGCGATGCCAGGGAAGGGCACCGAAAGAAAAAAGGCATCAATGCCTGCGGCCGTAAGCGAAAGGACGTCAGACAGACTCTGCCACCGCAACGGGGGGAAGTGAGCTCGAGGTGGCGGTGTGCGTGACCGTTTTGTGCAGATGCTCTCGGTGTGCATCCTGCAGGCCGGCGCGTGCTCTCAGTGCATGGGCGCGTTGGGCTGCGCTCCTCAAGAGCGGCGTGCCCGCGCCCTTTCGGCCTCCCGCTGCTGAGCCCGGGGCTCGTGCAGGTAGCAGATGCCGCGCAGCACCTGCTGCATCAGGTTCGCGGCCATGGCCTGGCGTTGGCGTTTGCCCTCTCCCCCGAGCAGTCTTCGAGCGTCGTCTTTCTCAGAGGGCAAGTGAGCGCTGCTAGCATGGCCTGAGCACCCCCATCCCGTCTGTCGAAGAAGGCGCACATACATACACACACACACACACACACACACACAAAAAAACACACACACATACGCGCACACACACACACACACACATGCTGGCCTGGCACACATGGGGTCAGGTCGCAATACGCAAACGACGTGTCTGCTACGGGAGGGGATGGGGGACGGAGAACGTCAGGGCAGGAGGACACGGGATGCGGGAGGAGGGTAACAGGAGAGGACCGGATCGTTGGCTTCTCCGGCGGACGCTGCTCCCCACAGGGCCCGGGGGGGAGAGTGCAGGCCCGCGGGGCCCGCCACAGCCAGGCGCACAGCCCGTGGCAGCCAGCGGTCCAGCGGGCCGAACAACAGACCTCAGGCAGCCGAAGGGCGACGGGCATCAGCGCGCGACGGGGCAGGGGCACGTGGAGAGGGAGGGCAGCTGGTGGGCTTCTTGTCCACCGCCACCACCATGAGTAGGAGGGGGAGGGGGGTCCTCCTCCTCCTCCTCCTCCTCCTCCTCCTCCTCCTCCTCCTCCACCTCTTCTCCCTCCTCCTCCTCCACCTCCTTCTCCCCTCCAGCTTATGGTGGTGGTGGTGGAAAACAGGCCCATCAGCAGTGGCAGGGAGGAGCATGCTGCGTCTGCATGCTCCTCAAGCAGTGCTCGTGATAAACTGGCACGCGCTCGTGGGCCCTGGTCGGGCGTCGGCGCGCGAGCTCCTGTGCGCTGTCCCGTGGTCTTCTGTCCGTGGGCTCCGGGTGTCGGGGCGGCAGTTCTCGCGCGAACTCCGACGCGTGGGCTCTTGTGCGTTGACTCCGTCTGCCTGCGTCGTGGTCTGCCGCTCTTGTGCCTGCTCGTAGGCGCGCATGGGCTCCTGTGCGAGGACTGCTGAACATGAGATGTCATCACACTCCGACTCCCATTCCTACCGCGACTCCTCCCAACTCCAAGTCGCACTCCATACGCAACATTTCCAGACGCATGATGTGCAACGGTAATTCCACAAAACATCTGTTCGAGGACCACGCGCTGGCGTCATAGCCATATCCGCCTCCGTGCCTTCGTCACGTCGAGGCGTGTTAGAACCTGGGCCGGCACGGGAACAGAAAGACCGCTTGAAGAACCCGCCTTCAAGGGTCACGGCACCGTTCGCCTTGGCGTTAGGATCTTTTACACGTCACGGATCGCTCTTGGGAAAATGTGTGAAGAATTGTGTACATACCCGTTCGCTCTTTGGAGCCTTCGCGGTCAGACCTGTTCACGTCATCGTTCGCTCTCGGGAGCCTTGGCGTTAAGAGCTTGTTACGTCACCGCTTGCTCTTGGGAGCCTTTTTGTGTAGAGCTGCCTACGTCACCGCTCACTCTGGGGAGCCTTGGAATGCATGTCTATTTTACGTAACCGTTCGCTCTTGGGAGCCTTGGCCTTAAGAGCTGATGACGTCACCGTTCGCTCTTGAGCCCTGGGCGTTTGGAACTTTCTGGCACACTGTTCGCTATTGGGACCCTTGGCGTTCGCATATCTTTACGTCGCTGAGAATGGGCGCTGTTCTCTTGGGAGCCTTGGCGTCAAAGCTGCGCTTGTCATTGGGCCGTCCAGGGGGGGTCCTCTGGGGGCTTTCGGGGGTTTCGTGGGGTTTCTTGGGGTTTCTTGGCTGTCTTGGGCTCGGGGGGGCTTGGCCCGTATTTGGGCCCTCTTGGATTTGTCTTCGGCCTTTCTGGGGGCCTCCGACGGCACGCTTGGGACTCTCATAGGGGGCCTCTTGGGGTCCTCTTGGGCCTCTCTCAAGCCGTCTTGCGGCTTTCTGTGGCCGTCCGGGGGGCCCTCTTGGGCCGTCTTGGTGCCTTCTTGGGAGCCTCTGGGGCCGCATGGGGGGCAGACTCGAAGGCCCTCAGAGAGTATTCGACCGATCTGGGGCGGAATATTCGAGAATGCGAAAGACAGTGAACCTACAGGAAAATCACAGTTTTGGGCCTCCTCGAGCCGCCTCGGAGGGCCTCTTGGGAGGCTCGTGGGCCGCCCTGGGAGCCTCTTGAGCCGTCTGGGGGGTCCTCTGGAGAAGCTCTGGGGCCGTCTTGGGAGCCTCGGGTTGTCTTGGGCCGTATGGGGCTCCACTTGATCAGTTGTGAACCCCCCTCCCTGGGACTCCCCCATACGGACTAAAACCCGGTGCAGAGCTTCGCTCGCTAGGGCTCTGTCCGTCATACAGTGATCGTGCTACCACAAGGAGCGTTGAGCATGGAAGGGACGAAGAGCTTGCCTGGCCACAGCGCACTCGTCTTCGAATAGGTTCCCCGACCTAGATATAAGGAACGGCCTGGAAATCAGAGACCCTTGAGAGCCCAAGGTGGATCTTATTTCAGCGCCTTGACTGCACGTGTCTGTTGTCGGAGATAGGGGGCCTCAAGTGGTCTACATGGCCGACCCCCCGCCCTCGCTGAAAACCACCCAGAAGCAAAAATCCCCCCTCTAGCAATGCTCTTCAGCGCCCCTTGCGGCCTCCAAACGGCTTCGAGAAAGCCAAAGACCCCCCAAAAACTGCTGCAAAGACGCCCCAAGACCGTCTCGACACTGCCCGGGTAAACCCCACGGGCTCCAAGACTTCGCCAAGATGCTCCAAGAGGCTCAAAGAAGCCTCCAAGAGGCACCCAAAGAGGCCTCCAGCGAGGCTCTCAGAAGCGAAAACATGTGCCGAAGACCTGCCCAGACATTGCCGTCGCTCGGACGTCCATTTCCAGTGCTTGTTTTGGTTTCGTGCGTGTTTTTGTTTTCTAGATGGTCCAGGATGGTCCTCGATGGTTCTCGCCGAGAAAGAATCCACACGTCCGAGCGATGCCAGTAGACGTCCCCAGGATGGTCCGATCGAGCCCCTTCGGAAGCGCTCCGTAAAACCACCGCACCTCGGACGGCCCCATCAGTCTCCCAGCAGGCCCACGAGAGGGCCCGAGGCGCGCCCAAAGGAACCCCACGGTGAGCGTCCGGTCTACTTGCGAGGAGGACGACGACGGGTGCAGGGAGAGGAGAAGCAGCCTGCAGACAAGGAGGGGGCGCTCAAGACCCCCCCCAACTCAAACAAGGCACTGCGCTGGAGCGGAGCATAAACTCGACCGTCTCCTCGTCCTCCTCGTCCTCCTCGTCCTCCGCGCTTGTCTCCGTGCTTCTTCGACGCCTCCTCGTCCTCCTCCCTCGCTCATCCTTCTTCGACGCCTCCTCGTCCTCCTCGCTGGCACGGTGGCGGGATTCGCAGCAGGCACCACGATTTCATCGCCAAGTGCTATGCCCTTTCGGCGGGCGATAAAAAGACAGCCTCGTCAGATGGCAGAGGCGACGCCTCTATGCCCAAGCAGCGTCGGCCCAAATATCGGCTCTGAGGGCCTGACACGTCAAGCCATCTGAAACAAACGCGAAGGCCATTCCAGAGAAGACTGTACGATGCCTGCCCGGTGCACCGAGACAGATCGCCTGCCCTTTTATTACCGGACTGTAGAACTATGCCTCTTGTAATTGGCGAGTTCAGCAGCATACCCGTTGGGAGGGCCTGAGCGCACCAAAATGGTACCCCGGATTGTTCAATACGGGATTTGGCCTGACCCGAGGAACGAGAAAGAAGGAACGAAGCCCCTTTTTCCCAAGTGAGTCTAGGAAGCCCGCAGGAACACCAGGGGGGCTCGCCGCCAAGAAGGCAGCGGAAAGCATGCAAACCAAAGGGTTTAGGGTTTAGGATTTAGGGTTTAGGGAACGACCGAGCCCCTTTTGAAGAGCAAAAGTCTTCCTTATTCGAGCACCCCGTAGGCACCCTCGCCCTGCCGCCCGCTCCGCCCGACGGCCCGGTCCTTTCCCCCCCACGCGCGCCGAGCCCACCCCTTCGGTGGCAACTCCCAGGAGCCTCCCATGCCATCTTGTCGGCTCCTGCGAGTCGACGCTGGTCGACGCTGAATCGACGCTGGTCGACGCCAAGTCGTCGCCCAGAGACGCCAACCGACGCCAAATCGGCGCCATCTCACGACTCCCAGACGCTAATCGACGCTAAGAACGGAATTAAGAGGGTATGCAAGGCCCTCATGATTTGCCACCGAACCCACCCCCTCACGCGATCCAACCCTCCCACGCCCAGCGCCGGACAGGCCCGCTCTACCCTCCCACGCGATCCACCTCTCCACGGCTTACGGAGTAACTCGGAGTGCCCGAGCGCGTCGCCGTAGAGACGAACTCGCGACAGATTGACCAAGGCAAGTCAGCGCAACAGTGACTCAGCGGCGAGCGAGGGGGGGGAAATGAGAAGGAGAAGGCCTTCTCTGAAGGCGGCGGGTCTGCTCCGAAGCCTTCGCGTCTTCTGAAAAGTTTTCTGTGTCCTCAGGGAAGGCTCAGAAAATTCTCAGAAGGCCCGGGGAGTTCCGAGCCTTCTGAGAAGGCCCTTTCCTTCTCACTTCCCCCCTCGCTCGCCGCCGAGTGACCTCGGGAGGCCAGCCACTCGGCTCGAGACGCCTCGTCTGCACTAACAGGATCTGCACTGCCGACGACAAGCCACACCGCCGTCACCGACGCGCTCGCGGATCTGCCAAGCAACACCCAGGAAGAGTGTTGTTGCAACATGCTTACCTTCCTTCTGTCCATGGGACCCTCGTCGACGGGCCGGCAAGGGAGGCTGGGTGCACGAGTCCCCTCCTCCCATGGGAAGGCCCCCCCTCGCAGAAGAGATCCCGGAAAGAGGGATGGGCAGGAGACGCGGCGCACTCCCGCAGCTCTCTCTCTCTCTTGTTGTGTGTCTCTCTCTCTCTCTCTTGCTTGTGTACGTGTGTGTCTCTCTCTCTCTCTCGTTCCCACTCGTTCTTCTTATTATGTGTGTTAGTTCTCTCTCTCTATATATATATACATACACACACACATATATGTATATATGCGTGTCTGTCCCTCTCTTGAAGTCCCATCTCCCTTCCACATGACATGCCCCTGACTTGGACTGCCTGTGAGCATGCCCCTGCACTTCCCCTTGTCAGCCTCAGTCAATTTCCCCTCGCAGATGATGGCGTCGAAGAGATCGCCACCAGCGCACAGCTCCATGACCGATGAGATGAATGGAGGAAAGAAGACGGTTTCCCTGCACTCGACTCACACAACGACGCATGAATGTACGGGACCACGGACCTAAAACAATCAGCCAGTCGCTGAGGATGACGTGCCCTTGCACTCCACGGGGTGTTAGCCACTGCGCGTGATGATCCCGAACAGTCTGCGGATGCACGTGGCTCGTTGCCCACTCTGTTGCGACCCTGATAATGTTTCGCTCAGGCTACATCCCCCTGCCTGGAGCATTGTTGCCGAGAGCTCCTTACTCTCACGGACCTCGGTGCAACCGACCGAGGCAATACGACGGGAAGACTCCAAAGCAGGGGCGCCACGAAGGAGGAGGATCGGAGGGGGCCCAAGACAAGCCTCGCTTGGCATCAACTGGACGCGCGTGAGGTTGAAGGGCTGTGGAAGAAAATGCGACAACATCAATATCACATGTAGTGTATGAGTGCTCGGCTGCCTACGACCGCGGCGTGCATCCACGCCGCTGCGACTTCAGAGAAATGGACGCGTGCTCCCCGAACGTCCGCAGAGACAACCATGAACACACGCTCCCCGCACGACCACAAGGAACAAACATGGACACAGAGCTCGTATACCAACAGGACTTCCAAACCGCCGTTTGGACCCTCTTGTGGTGCCGTCTTGGACCGCCTGTGGCATGACTGAAGTTGATAGGACCCTGGCCGAAGACAAACATACGTGCGTTGCGATGTCGAGCCTGTCGGATAATAGGCGAAGTCCCAGCAGATTCAGTAACCCAATCCCAGTCACCTCCGACTAGTCAAATACCAGTCCGAAGGCTTTTGTTTAGGGTTTCCCGAGCCGAGCCTGTGCTTATATGCAGCAAGAGCTGGACAACCTTTGGCTGCTCCCTGGTGCTGCCTCTTGGGCTGTCTCGGGGGACATCCGAGTGCATCGGCGAGCATAGGCGGGAAAGCGCATGCTCGATCGTCTCTCTTGATTGCAGACATCTGCCTCGAGCATGATACCGTGGAACACCACAGCTCCTCTGTCGTTTCAACGTTCAGCTTTGCCGGGTATGCCTGCAACGAAGAACATAACCGTCTAAAGAACGGCGTCAGGCATCAGCTCATTCGAGGATTGCAACAACATCTCAATCATGGCATCCTGGCATGCGTTCTGGCATCCTGTTATTTTAAAAGCGTCCTGGAATGAACATGGACCGCGTAAGTTCAAAGGGCTGTGGGAAACCAGGATGGCCCCAGCATAAGACTCACGACGATTGGTACCGACCCTCATACAAGCCGTACGGCCCGAGCACGTGTGCGAGATGTGCGCGCCCATTATCCCTTGAAGACCCGCCAGGACCCAAGCTCTGCGAGCTCGTTTCGGCAGGCCCTCTGCGGGAGCGGATCGGGAGCAGGGAGGCCTGAGTCGTGTCTGGCACCTGATGCCGTTGGATGATGAGACGATGATCACTTGGTGGATGATGAACTGGCGTGAAATATGCATGCTAGAAGTGGCTCTGCGCAATCGCACAAACATTCCACAGGGACACGTAAATATACGAATGGTATGTCCTGTCAGGCTCTTGGGACCAACAAAATTGTCCTGGCGAAAGGACCCAAACATACGCTGGTGTGAGTGCCACAGATCAACTGGGACGAAGAAAGGGAAATTCCTTACGGGGCCTTCGGTGGAGCTCCCTGTGGGCGGGCCACGAACCGTGTGAGGGGTGTGCCAAAATGAGTGGCGGTCCCCGCATGCGGCCTGTGCCACTGGGGCCTTCGGTGGAGCTCCCTGTGGGACCACGAACCGTGTGAGGGGTGTGCTAAAATGGGTCCCGGTCCCCGCGTGCGGCCTGTGCCACTGGGGCCTTCGGTGGAGCTCCCTGTCGGACCGTGTGAGGGGTGTGCCAAAATGGGTGGCGCCTCCCATTGCGGCCTGTGCCACTGGGGCCTTCGGTGGAGCTCCTTGTGGGACACTAACCGTGTGACGGGTGTGCCAAAATGGGTGGCGCTCCCCGGATGCGGTCTGTGCCATTTGGGCCTTCGGTGGAGCTCCCTGTGGGACCACGAACCGTGTGAGGGATGTGCCAACATGGGTGGCGGTCCCCGCATGCGGCCTGTGCCACTGGGGCCTTCCTTGGAGCTCCTTGTGGGGACACTAACCGTGTGACGGGTGTGCCAAAATGGGTGGCGGTCCCCGCATGCGGTCTGTGCCACTGGGGCCTTCGGTGGAGCTCCCCGTGGGGCCACGAACCGTGTGATGGGTGTGCCAAAATGAGTGGCGATCCCCGCATGCGGTCTGTGCCATTTGGGCCTTCGGTGGAGCTCCCTGTCGGGCCACGAACCGTGTGAGGGGTGTGCCAAAATGGGCGGCGGCCCCCGCATGCGGCCTGTGCCACTGGGGCCTTCGGTGGAACCCCATGTGGGGCCACGAACCGTGTGAGGGGTGTGCCAAAATGGGCGGCGGCCCCCGCATGCGGCCTGTGCCACTGTGGCCTTCGGTGGAGCCCTCTGTGGGGCCACGAACCGTGTGATGGGTGTGCCAAAATGGGTGGCGGTCCCCGCATGGCCCGCATGCGGCCTGTGCCACTGGGGCCTTCGGTGGAGCCCACTGTGGGGCCACGAACCATTTGAGGGGTGTGCCAACATGGGTGGCGGTCCCCGCATGCGGCTGTGCCAAAACAACTCAGGTTCCCCGCGACACCATTCCTGGCACATCACCAGTACCTCGCAGAGGGGGAGGAGGAAGGGGAGGAGGAGCGAGGAGGAGGAGGTGACGCGGGGCGCTGTCTCTTCAAAACGGGGACCCAACACCACAAGATGGTTGGGAAACGCACATTACTCGGGCACGTCTGCTCTTCGGGAGCGTAAACTTACAACAAGATCGCACCTGCATTCCCTCGGGATGATCACTTGAGCACATCCCTTACGGAACTCCGCACACCGTGGGCCTCCAAAGGGGCCCGCCTGGCCCCTCTAACGCCGCGGAGGGGCCTCACAATTCGGCACACCTCTTACGCGCCGTGCGCTCCATGGACCCCGGGGGGGCCCTCGGGAAGCCCCTCAAGACGACGCGGGGGAGCTTCCTTTCGGCACAGCATCCACGCACGTCGTGGCTTACGGACTCCCAGATGCCCTCGCCTAGCCCCAGTAGGCCCCAAGAAAAGACCAAACGCGCCAAACAATGGGCATGTGAGGCTCCAAGTTGGACTCGCGGAGGCCATTCGAGAAGCAACGAACTGCAACGACTGGCTCAGTCACTGTACAAGTGTCCCCGCACTCCCCAAGGGACGTCAAGACGCCACAGGGGAAGTCAAGAGTAACCCGATAGAAACATTTGCAACGCTTGATGCGAAGACTCGGCGAAGCCACACCCCCGAACGCCCACCGATTGCGAGATGCACGTGCTCGTTACCCCTTGGTGGGGCCGCCGTGACTCCCGCTCTGCGGGCTCAATAACATATATATATATATGTATACATATACACATACACATATATATATATATATATATATATATATATATAGGCGCCATACTGAAAACTCTTGGCTCGCAGGCCCACCCTACAGAAAGCGGCAGACAATATTACCATGCGAAGTCGTCCTTTCCAGGAACTCCCAATGAGGGCTGTCTGAGGCTCCGACAGCATGCCAACAGGCCTCCTCGACACAAGCTCCAGCTTCCCTCCAAAATGCGCATGGACTCTTCAACGAAACTGAGATTACATCGCAAGAAACCCTGGAACAACAAGACGCGACATGAAACCCAGCAGACTCACGCCCAAGAGGCTGCAAGGTGGCGTTCAGACTGCCCGACCCACGCATCGATTTGCCCACGACGCCTCCGAGACGGTGCCAGTACTGCTCCAAAAAAAGACCAGAACGACCACGAGATAGTCCAACGAGAGCATCCAAGACACGAAGACGGCCCGAAGACCCCGGATTCGACCCCTCAAACAACCTCCGCCACTCCCCGTGGCCCTCCCCTTTCACGCACACACTCAGGCAGTCTCCGTAGATTGCATCCGCGCGTTCACGCTGGCATTAAATGAAAAAGCTAGCTCATCGCGACCATGTGGACCATCTGCGCATCCTCGAACACCGCGAACAACTTAACAATCCGCTGGGCCCCACTGCGGGGACAGCAAACGACCACAACCACATCGAAGATACACCCAGGGGCGTCGTCCGCATGCCAAAAATTGGCAGGAGACCGAAACCAGCTTCGTACTGGTCGCGATAGGTTTGGCGTCCGAGGACGGCCAAATCGACCACAACCACAGCCGAAGTGCTCAGGTCGAGGTCTTAGGAGGCAACTACTGGGAGATATTCGTCGAAAGGATTAGGGATAACTAAGCCCCATCGAGGGGCTGCTACCCAGGATTAAGCCGCGGATTAAGCGTGATTAAGCCAGATGGTAAGCCATATTACGCGGAATCAAACCAGATTAAGCCAGACTTCGGACCAGGGCAGAGTCAGAAGTTGACCTCCCAGGAGCTTCATCCGAAGAGGTCAGTCGGTTTTCCCATGAGGGGCCCTCCCGAAAAATCCACTCAGTCGCGGTTGTGGTTCGGTGTCACGCACGGATCCGCCCCTCCCAAGAACCGCTGTAGCTTTGCGTCGGGCATTAGAGGCCTCCTAGATGGGGTCGGAGTAGGTGGTGTCGGAGGATCGCGCCGCATCGCCGATACATCGGCGATACATCGGCGATGCATCGGCGATGCATCGGCGATGCACCGACGATGCATCATCGACGTCGGCGATGCATCGGCGACGTCGACGCGAAGCAAATTGGGCTGCACATCGAGCCACATCGGCGATGCATCGGCAATGCGGCGCGATCCTCCGACCCCATCAACTCCGACCCCATCTAGGAGGCCTAGAGGCGTGTCCTCCTACAGGCGGATTTTGCAAGAGAGAGAAGAAACTGTCCAACAATCCGAGGCCCCCATTGCGGGGCCATAAGGATGCGAGGATTAAGTCGCTGCTCTCTGTACCAGTTCCAGTTTCCAGTTCCCAATGTTACAGCACTGCTTCTGCTTCCCACTGTAAATTGTTACTGTCCGCGCGAGGGGGGGGGGGGGGGCCGAAAAGGGCCCTAGTTAGCGCCCCCCGGGAAGGTTCTCAGAATTTCCGGGGGCGCTGGGACAGGCAAAAATACTCGAGATTCGCGCCTCCGAGGCCACGATCCCTCGAAAATTACACAGCGCATTCGCGCCCCCGAAGCCACGACCCCTTGTAAAATACACCACGTTCGCGCCGACGCCAGCACGGCAAGAGATCCATCCGGCGGCCGCTGGATGGTTAGGGGTACCCAGCCGGCACGAGGGGTATCCAGCGGGCACGCTGGATACCCATCTGGCGTCCGCTGGATGGGTAGGTGTAGCCAGCCAGCACGGCAAGATACCCATCCGGCGGCCCCATGGAAGGGTATAGGGGCACGCAGCCCGGCGGCCGCTGGACGGGTAGGGGTACCCAGCCGGCACGGCGAGACACCCATCCGGCGGCCGCTGGATGGGTAGGGGTACCCAGCCTGAACAGCGGAATACCCATCTGGCGGCCGCTGGATGGGTAGGGATACCCAGCCGACATAGCCGGATACCCATCCGGCGGCCGCTGGATGGGTAAAGGTACCCAGCCGACACGGAGAGATACCCATCCGGCGGCCGCTGAAGGGGTTGGGGTACCCAGCCGGCACGGCGGGATACCCATCCGGCGGCCGCTGAAAGGTAGGGATACCCAGCCAGCACGGCGGGATACCCATCTGGCGGCCGCTGGATGGGTATCTGACTGGGTAGGGTGGGCGCCAGAGGGGACCGGCGGCGGAAGTACAGTATGCCTAAGATTGTCCAAGATAATGATCCAAGATGCCTCCAGGACGGCCCAAGAGGCCTCCAAGAGGTCCTCCACGAGAGCCCGCAGAGGCCAAAATCATTGGTTTTCCTAAAATTTGTGTAAGGATTTTGGCATTTGTTGCTTCTTTTCGGCTTTCCGACAGCCCAAGATCGCCCAAGAGGTCCCCAAGATCGCCCCAAGATCGCCCAAGGGGCCTCCAAGATGGCCCAGAGCCTCAACAGCGACGGAGGGACCATACAGGACCTCAAAAAAAAACACGACAGATCCTTCCAAAACGACCAAGATGTCCTCCAAGACGGTCCCAAGACGCCTCCAAGACGGCCAATATGGCCCAAGATGGCCTCCGAGAAAAGTCCAAAACGGTCAAGATGGCCCCAAGAGGCCCCAAGATAATCCCAATATGGCCTCCAAGCCGGTCCCAAGATGCCTCCAAAACCGCCATGATGGCCCAATAAAGTTCACGAGTGCCTCAAGAGGCTCTCAAGAGGTCTCCTCCTCCTCCCTCTCCTTTTTCCTCCCCCTCCTCCTCTTCCTCCTGCCCCACGTGTTCCCCGAAGGCTTTCCAAACCGACTCAGAGAACACATGGTCCGATAATTTGGGATGGGAAGCTCTAACCCAACGTTCTGCCACATACGCGTTTCCATACAGGCAGGGGGCGGCGGTGATTCGCCGAAGGCGTCTTCGATAACGCCAACGTTTCAATGTGTGTTGATGATTCCTATCCGCGTCCGCATGCTGTTCCCAGATGCGCTAAGGCAGCGCCGAGACGCACCGACGCGACTCTGTGATAACCCATTATGATCGAGAGGGGGCCGGCGGCACGGGGCGAAGCCCTTACGGATAATCAAAACAAGTCAAAAGAGCACGAAGAAGGGTCACCAGACTTTTAGTACTACACCTGAATACTCGTCTTACTCCTCCTGTAGACAGGCATGCCGGACTTAATTGAGCAGGGACCGACCGTCCCGGCATTCCTAGAGGCCTACCACGACATGTTCGTAGAACACAAAGACGTATCAAGAACAAGTACAGTGCCCTCAGAACCTAGGCCCGATATGCTAAAACACAACAGTCTCAGCCAGAATCGTTCTGATGAAGAACATGTCGTGCAGACCGCAGAAGGCTCTCAGAACATGCTCTGGTGGGCCTATGGGCGAGACAGGAAGTTTCGCCCCCTGCTTGACTTCAACTCAGTCTTAATTTAAGTCGGGCGTGTGTCCGTCTACAGGAGGGATATTCAAAAATAGTCCATAGTCTGGGGACGATGTGTTTGACTATGTTTGATTATGTTTGGAATATGTTCTGGGATTTTTTTTCGCCCACAATCCCCCTGTAGGCGGACAGGCCCGACCTAAGTCTTGCTTGGGGCCCTGGGCTCTGCACGAACCCGCCCTTCCCAGGGAGCCGCGCCGGGCACGGGCGCGGCTGGGCCGAGAGCCGCCGGCGCCCCCGGACCTCGCCATGCCGTGGGCCTCTCGGCCCGCCGCGTGGCGCGCTGTCCCCGGGGTGCTACGGCCGCTGGTCGAGGGCGCGCTCCTCCTCCTCCTCCTCCTCCTCCTCCTCCTCCTCCTCCTCCTCCTCCTCCTCCTCCTCCTCCTCTCCTCCTCCTCCTCCTCCTGCTCCTCCTCCTCCTCCTGCTCCTCCTCCTCCTCCCTCCTCCCTCCCTCCTCCTCTCCTCCTCCTCCTGCTCCTCTGCTCCTCCTCCTCCTCCTCCTCCTCCTCCTCCTCCTCCTCCTCCCCCTGCTTCCCGAGCCCTGCCGATGACCCTGGCACCCTCCCCCCTGCCTCCGTTCCTCCCTCACTCCGCACCGCACCTGCCTCCTCCCCTTGGTTCCGCTTGCCCCTCGCCTCACCCCCCCCCCTGCAAGTGTCCAAGGCCACAGAGGGGCGCTCCGATTCCAGGGCTGCCAGGTCGAAGCCGCGCTCCTCCCCGCCCCTCCCCCCTGCTTCTCGAACCCTCCTGATGACCCTGGCACCCTCCCGCGGGAAACACTTCTGTCCACATCCACAGCAGCTTGGAGTTCAGGGCCCTCCTCCCCAGAAGCCCGAGGCGCGCTGGAGTGAAAAAAAAAATGTCCCCTCGGAGACTCGATGTTTATCGATATCCAGTGCGCCTCGGCCTTGTGGCGCCCTGTCCGAGGAAGTCCAAGACGCACTGTATATGGATATTAATATGAAGTCGGGCCTGTCCTCCTACAGGCGGATTTTGGACGAAAAATAAAAAATAGTCAAGAATAATCAAAAATGGCCAAAACATGCTCTCCCCTGCCTTCGTTCCTCCCTCACTCCGTACCTCTGCCTCCCTTGCCTCCTCCCTTCCTCCCTCTTGCCCCACCCTCTGCAAGTACTCAGGCCACGCAGGGGTGCTCCGATTCCAGGGCTGTGGGGCGATTCGACGACTGTGCTGTGATAGTGCCCCAAATGTATTCCTGTTAAGTCCATACCATCGTTGCTGTATGTACCAGCACACCTCCATCACCGCGATGATCAGAAGAGTGGTGATGGGATCCTTCCATGGTGCCACGTTAAATGTGGAAGCATCTCGACTCATCACCGGCAACGACATCAGCTGATTGGTTTTGGCACACGTCGCTTCTGCACGGAAGCTCTATATGCGTCACTCATGCCGAGGGCGCATAATACATCGCACAATGCCAGGTGCTCTACGCATCGTATCAAAGGGCCTCATCTACGAGGCCAAACCAAATAACACCATTCCATGTTGAGCACCCTCTATGGTTTCAGGGGCTAAGACATCCCGCTGCCCACACTCGCTTTAACGTTTTTACGACTGTCAGAGCACACGTGTCCAGGGCCAAGGACCCACAATCGCGAGAGTCAACACCGAGAACCGCGTGGCACATTTTCCACCTGGACGCTTAAGGCAGGAAAGGGAGGGGGGACGGAAGAGGGAAGCAATGAAGTCGGACCGGACTTAGACCAGAAGAGCATCCCTCAGGAACACGGGACCGCCTGCTGGCCAAACTGAAGAATACTCCAGGCCCCCCTTCCCACGCGTCCCAACATCCACAAAAGCATCCACCAACCACGGAAAACTTCAGGGTGCCTTCCCCGAACCGACTTCGACCTTGTAAGTCAGCCCGAATGCAACACAGGAACGCACCCCAACTGGTTGGGTCGGCCAGGCGGGCGGGGCACAGCCGCTCGGATGTTCGGATGATCCATCTCCCGCATGATGGCGACCTCCTCGGATCGCACGCGCCGCCCCCCGCTCGACGCCGCCTCGCGTCCCCCGGCCATCGCTCGGACGTCCATTCCTTGCGTTTTTTTTAATAAGTTTTGTGGGTGGTTTCTTCGCCGAATGATCAATGATGTTCCTCGCCAAAGGAAGGATGCACACGTCCGAGCGATGCCAAGCTCAATCTAGCTGGACTCGTCTTGATCCCCCAGGAAGCCCCAAGATTCGACGCATGGACGGTCCCGAACGTGATGTCGACTGCTTTCTAATCTTCGCGGGGGTTCTGGTGGCAGAATGGCCCCGCTGCCCGGAGGCGCCCGAATCCCCTGGGCTGCCCAAACATAGGGTCATCACCCAAGCAATCAGGATACAACGTTCCAGTTGTAGAAACGATGTGGTGGTCAATGCGAAACTATGATATCACGAGCGAATGCGAGGGATCAGAACCCAGAGCCCGCTCCACAACAAAACAACCATGCGCGGGATAGTAGTACACCAGGGATCATAGACTTCGGGGTTCTGGCGGGGAGAACAATATATTTTCCCGGGGATGAGGACAATGATGATGATGACGATGACGATGATGATGGCGATGGTGATCCTGGGCGTTCGGCGCAAGGATCACTCGAGAGATCTCGAAGCTCGCGGCCATGCGACATGTCAGCAGGCGCTCGGCGCAAGGCTGACTCGGGAGATCTCGAGGCTCGCGGCTATGCGACTTGCCAGCAGGCGCTCGGCACAAGGCTGACTCGAGAGATCTCGAGGCTCGCGGCTATACTACTTGCCAGCAGGCGCCCGGCACAAGGCTGACTCGAGAGATATCGAGGCTCATGGCTATACAACTTGACAGCAGGCGTTTGGCACATGGCTGATTCGATAGACCTCGGAACTCGTGCCTACATTTTTGCCAGCGCAAGAAGAGGCCATTGGCCGATATGGCCAAGACCCCACCCGCGCTGGACTTCGAACCACTCCCCCACGCAAGCTTGGCGGCGGCGCTTGCCACGGCGCACTTCGGCTCGGCCGCCGCGGGGCCCTTGCAGGGGTTGGACTTGTGATCGGCCTTGGCCCTGGCATTGGCCTTGGCCTTGGCCGTCGCCGAGCCGTTGTCGCTGGCCTTCTTGAGTTCATTGATAAACTCGTTGCCTCGAGCGACCATGATGTTGAGGCCCACTGGCATTTGGCGGCCCTCGCCTCGGATCCAGCGCAGGGCGCGCTCGACCCAGCGACTCGTCCACAGGCCGCAGCTCCAACCGTCTGCTGGGCATTGTTTGTCACACGGTGCTGGGCGACTCTCGCCAGGACCAATGGCGCCGAGCTTGCGGGGGGACCTCGCGGCGGCCTCGGGAGGCCACGCGCGGGCCCCACCCGCGATTTCTGAGGATGAGGGCGGGGCTCACTTTGTTCGGCAGCTCCCGAGCAAAGTGAACCCAACCTCCCCCCTTCAGAAATCGCGGGGCGTAGGCGCGAGTTCGCGCGTGGCCCTGTTGGGCCCGCTTGGCTTTCTCGGATGGCTGCTGGAGGGCGTCGCGGCACTCCACCGCGACGCCCCCGCCGATCCTCGAGACCTCGCGGGGATTGCCACAAGTGCCCCCTGCCTAGGGCGCCCCCAGGATTCGCTCCCAACCGGAGCGCAACACTGGAGGCGCCCGGGGGGGGGGCGGAGGCAATTGCGGCAACCGCCGGCCTTGAGGCACGCGTAGTGCGCAGGCGCCTCGGAGTGCACGCAGACCAGCACGTGCTGGGCCTTGTCGACCCTCTCGGCCTAGCGCGTCTGCCCCTCGGGCTGGTGGGCGGCGGGCGCGCCCTCGCCCTTGCCCTCTCGAGCCCAGGCGACGGCCGCCGTGGGCTCGACCACCAAGACGGTCTCGGGGACGCCCACGCGCTCCTTGATCTCGCCAAGCAGCGCGCGCACTGTGCCCAGCTCGAGAGGGCGTCGCCCTTGACGATCTGCTCGCAGCTCATGATCGCGCACTCCCTTGCGAGCTCGGCGCGGCGAGTCTCTCTTGTCTGGCGCCAGTCGAGCTTGCGCGGCTTGGGGAACTTATAATCCTGCTCGCTCGTGACCTGTGGCGCTCGGGATTCGCAGACGCTCGTTGCCTTCCGCCTGCTTCCGCTTCGTGTTGTTTCCGCCTGATTCCGCCAACTTGCCCGTCAACTTCCGCCGCTTCCGCCGCCGCCTCCGCCGTTTCGGCTAACTTCCGCGTGCTTCCGCCGCCCAGGGCAGAAGCAGGCAGAAGCTAATGAGCGCCCGTGGCCCCCCCAGCCTCGCAGCTTTCGATCTGGAAGATCGCCGCGGTCTCCACCTCGAGGAAGCGCGGGCGGCGCTCGTCCTCGGTGCCCGGGACTCGCCACACGACCTGCACTCTGCCGCGCCCGCCCTCGTGGACGCCCTCCTCGGCGACGCGCGCCACCTTGCCGTGCCGGGGGGGGCCCTCGCAAGCCTCGAGGCCCGTTTTCTGCTTGGCCTTAACCTGCTTCTTGGCGTTCTTCTCCGCTTGCTTCCTTCTGCCTGAACTCCTTGGAGAAGCTCGCGCGCGCCTTCGGCGGCCTGCCTGCGAGCTTCGCCTTGGCCGCGCCTCTGCTGAGGTGCTCGAGCGAAGACTCGCCGCCAGTCTTGGCCTTCTCGCGCCGCCACTCGCGAGCGTGCTTGCCCAAGACCTGGCCCGCGAACTTGGACGCCCACCTGTTCTTGCGATGAGCTGTCCGTTTCAGCTTGACCCTGTTCTCGAGGGCGCGCAGGAACTTGATATCCTTGATCCGCTCCTCTGGCGTTTCGAGCACGCCCCTCTGCTCGTCGGTGAGCTCGAGGTCCGGCTCTCGGAGCTGCAGGAGGCCGGGGTTCTCGCCCTGCTCGCAGTCCTTCGGCAAGTCGTCGTTGTGGAAGCAGTTGCCGTCGAGGGCGCCCCACTCGGGCACGGGCGGCGCGCCCTCGGGCCAGCTCTGGATGCCCGAGGCGCTCTTTCGCCAGGCTGTTCTCGATGCCGCGGCCGGGCTCCATGGAGTAGCTCCACGGCCCCATGCCCGCTGCGACCTTGAGATCGCCTTGCCATGTCGGCCGGACCGCGAGCATTCGGTTGGCTTGCAGCCCTCGGAGCGGCACCGCGCCCTCGTTCTGCTCGCGGAAGCGGGCGTAGGCCTCGGAGCCGCAGTAGAGGCACTCGCAGGGCCCCCAGTGCGTCGGGAGCTTGCACTGCTGCTGGGGCTCGCCCTTGGCCTTCTGGATCCAGTCTTCATCCATGGCCAAATTCATCTCGGCCTTGACCTCTCGGAACTCGGCCTTGAGCTGGCCGAGCTCGAAGGCGTCGGGCCCCTGCAAGAAGCTCGCGACGCCGGGGGCCACGGGCGCGTAGATGACATTCTTGAGCCACGCTCGGAGCGCCACTGCCTCGGCCCACTGGCTCGAGAAGCAGTCTGCGAACACGAGGCCCTGGCCGCGCTCATGCTCGATGAAATCGATGGCCAAACCTCCCACCAGCTCGTCCGTCCAGGCTGTCGGCCGCCCCCGCACGTCGACGGCCTCGAAGACCCTCGCGCGGTCTGCCTCGGAGAACTCGAGCAGAGCGTTGCGCCAGCCCTGGAGCAATGCCCCTAGGGGCTCGCCCGCTCGGAAGCGCTCCGCCTCGCCATCGCTCCGCTCGCAGGCGACGTCGCGCCGCCGGGTGCCCCCCTCGAGGCTGACGTCGCTGATTCGGCAGTGCCTTGCGTATGGGGGCAAGGAGCACGCTGCGCTTGTCGGCGGACTTCGGCCCCCTGCTCGGGTCGAACCAGTTCTCGACCGCGGAGACTTTGCTCAGGGTGATCCTGCGCTTGTCCCCCGCGCTCGAGCAGGCCTGCTCCACTTGCGCCTTGTGCCCAGGGTGCTCTGCCAAGTACTTGGCCTGCTCCGCCTCGAAGGCTGCCTTGTCCTGGTCGCCGTGCGTCTCGCGGCGCTGCTCGCAGAGGTTCTGGACGCGCTTCTCGACGCCTGCGGCGTAGACCTTCTGGGCGCCCGAGATTGGCACGGAAAGAATGGGCACGGCGCCCGACAACAAATTCTGCCCCAAACCATCTGCGGCCGCTGCTGCGCAGGCGGGCTTCTCTGTCTAAAATGAGCACGGGCCGCGGCGACACCGACAGCGAGTCCTGTTCAAAATGAACAGGAACTGCTGTCGGGCATTGCACCCATTCTTTCCGCGCCCATCTCGCTCGGTCAGAGAACTCGCTCTCACGGACGCACACCTGCTCTTCGCCCCCGAGCATGAGCCAGAGCGCGGCGGCGTCGACGGACCGCGCTCGCGCTGGCCCCGCGCCGGGCGAAGGTCTCGGGGCCCCCGACGAAGAGGCCGAGGTCCTCGGAACCGCCCCTCGCCAACAGGCGCACGAAACTCTGGTCGCAGTCGCAGTAGTTACTCGTTCGCAGTAGTGGTAGTGGTGCTACTACTACTACTACTACTACTACTACTACTACTACTACTATTACTACTACTACTAATACTACTACCACCACTACTACTACTACGACTACTACTACTACTACTACTACTACTACCACTACTACTACTACTACTACTACTACTACTACTACTACTACTACTACTACTACTACTACTACTACTACTACTACTACTACTACTACTACTACTACTACTACTACTACTACTACTACTACTACTACTACTACTACTACTACTACTACTACTACTACTACTACTACTACTACTACTACTACTACTACTAATAAACGAATAATCGTTACTAGCAGTAGTACATGGTGGTAGTAGTAGTAGTAATAATAAAAATAGTTAGTAGCTACTGGTCGTAGTACTTGGTAGTAGTACCTGGTAGTAGTACTAGTTCCTGGCAGTAGTAGTACCTGCTAGTAGTAGTACGTGGTAGGAGTAGTTACTAGTAGTCGTACCTGGTAGTAGTAGTTGTAGTAGTAGTAGTTCGTAATAATAGTAGATACTAGTAACCGTAGAAGTAGCAGTAATACCACTAAGAGTAATAGTAGTTACGTAGTGGCCTT